TCTAAAAATAATTTTTACAACTTTTAGAATTACTCAGAGTCACCTAATGTTCTTTAAAGTTATTTAGAAAAAATTAATCATTTGATCCTTGTAGTTTGACTTAATTGTAACTTAATTCCTAAACTTTGACTCATTATAACTTAGTTTCTAAAGTTATGATTCGATTGTAAATTAGTTCATGAATTTTACCTCTTACAGTTTAGCTTCTAAAATTTCAACCTCTTAAATATTAATTTTTATATTTTAAAAAATAAAATTATAAAGATTAAAAGTATTTTAAACTTTATTACTAATATTTTAAATTATTAAACCCTTTTAATATTTATAAATATTATAAATTTTAAAATTTTAAAATATTTTTAATCTTTATAATTTTATTTTTTAAAATATAAGGACTAATATTTAAGAGGTTGAAATTTCAAGAGTTAAATTGCAAGAGGTAAAATTTAGAAATTAATTTATAACCGAGTCAAAATTTTAAGAACTAAATTATAACAAGTCAAAGTTAAGGGACCCTTAACCCGTTGAAATATTTGATATGCCTTGTTTAAGATTTTTTCTTCGCCTGTTCTCGAGTGCTCTCTCTCTCTCTCACATACTTGCGCTGCGCAAAAAGAAGATGGAAGGAATTCTAGGGAGAAGAGTCTCTCCATTTTTTCTCCTCCATTTCCCTTCATTTCTCCAATCCTCACTAAGAGTGGGATAGGCCAAGGCCCTATCAAGGGCCTACATCTTGGCCTACTTCAAGCTCAACCTAGCCTATTTATTAAATAGGTTTAGGCTGGGTTCAGGCCTTTAATTAGGTCTATTTAGTTAAGTAGGCCATGCTTACTTTTTTAAGGCCTAACCTATGTGCCTAACAGGATGGCTTATATATATATAATATATATATAATGTAATATATCACATATACATTAGTTTCACTATTTAATTTTTAATCAATCTATTTTTTAAATTTTAGCTATGTTCTCAATATACTGATTTTAGTTATTAATTTATTATTGCATTGTATTATAGTTAGTAAGTCCTTTTAATTATTATATATTATAATTGATAAATCATGTTATATATTTATATCAATAGCCCTAAAATATATTTGAGACATTTACAAATAAAATGTGAGCTTATTTAAAAGGCTTACTTTTAAGTAGGCTTTTAAATATATTTTCAAACCAAGCCAAGCTTTAGGTAGGCTCAAACTTGAGCCCTGAGAAAAACCTTATACAAGCTTTAAGTCATGCTCAGGCCTCAAGCTTATCATACAGGCTCAGATCTATTTGATCAAAGCCTAACTCAACCTAGCCTATTTTTTTCCGAATCCTTACCGTTCAATTAATTTTATTAAGTAATTTTTTTAAATGATAAAATTAATGAATGGTGGGGATTAGGAAAATGGAAGGAAATGGACGAGAAAAAAGTGGAGAGACCCCTCTCCTGAAATTCCAACCTTGCTGTGCACTTAGCAAAGGGCATACATAATAGGGAAAATAGTAGCTGAGGACCTCTGTGTTAAATTTTTATCACACAATGACTAAATGATTTGGTATTTGCTTTGCAATCCTCTAGTCCTTCTTTCACATTAATTTTGTAAGCAAAATAATGAAATTGCCCCTCAAGTTTAAAATAAAGAAAAGAAAAGAAACCTCCATCATCGACGATGAGGTTGCCAGAGCCCCTACTGTCGACAGGGTCACCAGCGGCTAATCATCAGAGTTCCGTTGCCGGCAACATATTTATTCAAGAAATAATTGTCTAGGTAGCCAATAGAAGGTTGATCTAATGATCTTTGGCCACTTAAAAAGCTTGATGGCCACTAGGCCACTAAGCCCTTTAATTATATATATATATATATATATATGATTAGTTACTTGTTATAATAAAATGGTGTGTTGTTAATTTTCTGAACAGCACTTATTATTTTACAAATGTTATTTGTTAATATGACAAGGATAATTGTAAATTAGGAGCTTTAAAACTTCATATATTTTACTTGTTAAAAGTTTAAATGTATTATTTTTAATCACGAATAGGTTATTGTCAAAACATGAATGGATACTTATTAATGAAGGACTAACACGCACAACTAAGCCCTTCCTATTAGTTTTTCTAACTTGTTAAAACCAGAAGAGATTGTTGTTAATTTTAAATGAATTGATGTGAAAATATAAAGGTACAATTGTTGATGAAGGATTAACACATGCAATTAAGCACATCTTATCTATTTTCCTAATTATTAAAGCTCAAATGGATTGTTGTTAATTTAAAATAAATTATTGTCAAAACTCAAATAGATACTTATGATTGATAATTAAAAGCACAAGTCTAATAGACTGTTGCTTTTCTAGCTTGTTAAATATCGAATGGATTGTTGTGAATTTATAATTAGTTGTTGTCAAAACCTAGATGAATACTTGTTGATGAAAGACTAACGAATATAATTATGCCAATTCTATACACTTTTCTAGCTTGTTAAATTCTAAATGAACTATTGTTAATTTAAAATTGATTGTTATCAAAACCTAAATAGATACTTGTTGATGAAAGACTAGCACATATAATTATACCAATCTTATATGCTTTTCTACCTTGTTAAATCCCAAACGAACTATTGTTAATTTAGAATGAGTTATTATTAAAACTTGAATAAATACTTATTGATAAAAGACTAACATGTACAATTATGCCAATTCTATATGCTTTTCTAGCTTGTTAAATATGGAATGGAGTGTTGTTTATTTAGAATTAGTTGTTGTAAGAACCTAAATAGATAGTTATTGATGAAAGACTAAGACATATAATTATGCCAATCCTATATGCTTTTCTAGCTTGTCAAAGCCTGAATGGACTGTTATTAATTTAAAATGAGTTATTATCAAAACTTGTATGGATATTTGATACTGATAATTAAAGGCACTAGTGTAATGGAATAGGTGTATAAAAAAATTTAAATTAACAATAGTCCATTTGGTATTTAACAAGCTAGAAAAGCTTATAGAATTTGCATAATTATACGTTTTAGTCTTTCATCAACAAGTATCTATTTGAGTTTTGATAATAACTCATTTTAAATTAACAATAGTCTATTCGAGATTTAGCAAGCAAGAAAAGCATATAAGATTGGCATAATTGTATGCATTAGTCTTTTATCAACAAGTATCAGGTTCTGACAACACCTAATTATAAATTAACAATAATCCATTCGATATTTAACAAGTTAGAAAAGCAACAGTCCATTAGACATGTACTTTTAATCATCAATTGCAAGTATCTATTTGGGTTTTGACAACAATTCATTTTAAATTAACAACAATCCATTCAAGCTTTAACAAGCTAGGAAAACAGATAAGATATGCTTAATTGTATGTGTTAGTCTTTCATCAATAAGTGTGCATTTAGATTTTTACGACAATTCAAACAACAATCCATTTTCAATTATTTAAGTATCAATTAGCATCCCATACTTCTAAAAATGCCTATAATCTAATTTACACTAGGTCTATTTAGTTTGACTTTGTTCTAAAGATTGAAATTTGGGATTCCATCTTTATCTCTTTTATAATTTGTTTATTTTAACTGTAGTTAACTTATTTTCAAAAGAGTTGGTAATCTGTTTTCTTATTTTCTTATTTATTTACTTTATTTAATTATTTAATATTTTAAAAAAGTCCTCATTATTTTTTTAAATAACAAAGATTGCTATCTTCCTCTAAGTTTGACCCAAAATACTTTAAATTTTATTATTATGTCAATCTCATGCACTCGAGAGACTGATCATTCACCCCCTAGAATATAAAGGGTATGCTTTTGGTAAAAATCCACATAGTGTGGCTTTTGTTGAGTTTGCGCACGCATGTTATATTACTAAAGTGCTTAGTATTGTTAATAACTTATAGATGAGGCATGGGTGGGGCACGATGCTCAACATCACCAATTCCTAAAGGGAACGGTATTGGTCAAGCACTCATGATATAACACTCTAAAATTTACATTGATTATTCCTTCAAATATAGTTACATACTCAAACTTTAACTATTGAAACACTTACCATAGTAAAAAAAAAGGGTCTAGCGTGGTAATAAAGAATAACACTAATTTTTCAAAACATTATTATTTTAAATAAAAGTTTACCATGATAAAAAGATTTTTAGATATTATTTTCAAACCCTACCATAGTAAAAAAGTTGCTACCATGATAATTAAGAATTGAAATCATTTTTATAAAGTTTATCATGATAGAAATAATTTTTTTTATAATAAAACATTTCTCAAATGAACTACCATGGTAGAAAACAATATATCATGATAGCAAAGATTAAACATAATAAGATAGGCATACCATGATAATTTAGGAACTAAATAAGTTAATTAAATAAAATAGATACCAATGGAAAACAATATTAAATAAAGTATGCTTAATGGGATCCCATTGAAAACAGTTATTTAAAATCCACTACTTTGTTGAAAATCATAAACACAAATGAGGCACGGTTCCTAGGGGTATTTGAATCCAAAATATCATATTTATCACTCATAAATAGTTGACAAGGTGATTCAAGTGTCCACCCAAACAATTGCACTGGACTCTGGTCAAATAATAATACTTCCCAAACAAGTTTTTAATCTCAAACATCAGTTTTCACAATTTTGTTAATATGACCTAACTAAAATTACTCTAGGTGTATACTTAACCACATTACATCTACTTCAAACATCATAAACAAAACACATTCTAGACATGAACAAAGTAAAGCCATACTTGGGTTTTAGCCACCCAATACAGTTGCATAGCAATATTTGAATAATGTCTTAATATTAAATTATAATATAAATATTCTAGGCAATCAACATGGGATACGTTTGGAACCATGAATAAAACATCAATGAGCGTTTATGATCTTTGAGGGCATGAAACTAATTCTTTAACAGATGGCAGATAAGTTCTATGTCTATCCTTATAATTTAGCGTTTATGAACATAGGAAATTAAAAAGAAATAGGCTTTTAGCTTATTAAACTAATCAAAGTTAGCTTTCGGATGTATCTAACTCTATGCATGAAGGCAGTCATTGCATCAGCAATAGAAGTCAGGCTCTTGAGCAAGCTATCCAACTCAGAAAGCTGAGCACTCAGCTTCTCGTTGATTTTTCTAACAATCTCAGGCAGTGTCTTTGAAATAATTGAAGCTTGATGCTGAACAAGCTTCTGAGCCAGAACAGGTACGCCCACTATCGATTTGTCAATCTTGGAAAGAAGCGGGTGGTTCTCAAAGAGCGAAGCTTCCTCCATTCGAGCCTCTTCATAGGTCTCATCACTGATTCGATTCCTCACACACACATAACCAAGTCCTATGTTCACATCATCAGCAGTTTCCTTCTCTAAGAGTCCTTCTGGAGCTTTGTCAGCCTTTGTTACCACCGCCAGAGTTCTTAAGCCAGTTTTATTAACACTCTGTGACATCCGAATGGACTCACAGCTTGGAAAATCAATAGTAGCTGATAGAACATTCAATATAATAGCCTCTTCAGGTCTGATGTACTCTATGATTATGTCTTTGATCTGATCATAAATGTTCTCAGGCTGTCCATGAACAGGAACTCTAGTACCTGGGAGATCCACCATAGTCAGATCAGGAACACCATTTTTCTTCACCAACAGAGTCAAAGGGGTGTTGGAAATTCCCTTAACATTCCCCGCAAGCTCTTTAGTGGCCAAGTTTATGGCATCAGAGACCGAGAGACGTGTTCTTCTTCTGTTGAAATAGCTTTGCCGTTAAACTCCAACACAAGCTCAGGTTTTGGGAGAGGGTGGCTCTGGAGCCCCATAACTAAGGGCACCCTTGTGCAGATTCCCTGTCCATGTGGCAAACTGATTCCTGCAAGAGATTCTAGGACAGAAGACTTACCAGAAGACTGGTCACCCACAACAACAATAGTTGGAAGCTGTATACCTTCTTTGGTGATGTTGAGACGTCTCAAGTTTTCTACAGCATCAAGCACTGGACGAATCTTTTCATTGCAGGAAGAGACCATCAGTGGAACAATGAAATTGAGGGGCTCAGGTTGGTCATCTACGACCAAGGCCAGAGACTCTCGTCTCTGATTAAGAGCGGTCCTGCCGATGGCAGCTGATAACTTTCCTCTTCCCATTTGGACTTGTTCTTTGGAAGTTAACAGAAAAGAGAAAACAGGATCAAGAAAATACTGCATGTAGAGAAGTGAAGACTGATTCAGAATGTTGAAGTTTATACATAGTTATAATTATAATTATAATTAGTGTGACAGAAACGAAAAATGGGTTGGAGTTGAGAAATGAAGAGACTTCCTGGGCAAAGAGAAAGCTTTGAAATTGGTGCACTGAGGAGGTGATTATTCATATTCCATATGCAGATATAATCGGGAAGTTGGAGAGATGCTCTTCAATGGAAATATTATTGGCAGTAAATTCTGAGATGAAAAGAGAGACTAGATTTTTAAAGACCGGAGACAATGTTGTTAGTAATTTTCAGTCTGTTCATCTTTTGGTTGAATCAACTTTTTTGGGAGTTTATTTATTTGTTTATTATTAGTAATTAGTAATAATTACTGAAGGCGTTGTAGTAATTGATAAAAACTGCATGCTCACATCGTTTCGACAAACATTTGCCGCTTCGCAGTTTTTATTTGACCCTACGCTTTGACTCTTCGGATGAATAGAAGAAAACAAATTCAAGATTCCAGAGTTACTTACCCTACTACCCCACAACTTCTAGGTTTAAATCATACTAGTCCATTCTTAATAAGAGTTAACATAATCTTAATTAGAGTATTTAAATCAAGGGTGATTTAATTTAATTTATTAATTTTAATAAAACATCATAAGTTTATTATTATTAAGTTATTTAATTAATTTTTGGTTAAAATGTAAAAAAAAAATCTTAAACTTTGAGGTAGTTGTATAGAACTTTTCTCACTTTTAAAAATTTAAAATTAATCTCCCTAATCTTTTTTTTTTTACAGGCGCCCTTACTTTTATTTTTTAGTTACCTTACTAGTAAAAATTATCATGTCATATTAAAAAAAAAGACATGTATCAACTTACGTGAAATCCAATATAGGTTAATAATAACAGAAAAATATGGATAAAATTTTTATAACTATTATTAGCTTACAATGAATGCCATATAATTTACCACGCATCTTTTCATAATATGATATGACAACTTTTACTAGTAAGATGATTAATAAATAACAGTGGAACATTTTGTGGCCAAAAAAAAAAATAGAGAAACTAATTTTAAATTTTTAAAAAAGAGGGAAGTTCTATGCAATTAGTTCAGGAGGGTTTTTCATATTTTAGCCTAAATTATTTTTTTTTCGGTTGAGATTTTAGCCTAAATTATTTGTCCACATGAAAAGTCTCAAACCGGTTTTATAATTTAAGTTATAATTTATAGACGACTGGTAGATGTTGTATGCCTTATTAATAATACGATCTTTTTATAAATTTTATATTTATATTTTATATTTATATTTATAGTATATTTTAATTTAATTTACTATTAGATTCCTAATAAAAAAGGGATTTGTTGTTCAATGTTGAGATTTAAAATTTTAAATATATATTTCATGGCAATATAATTAAAAATCTATAATATTTTATTACTAACCATATTATAAAAATATTTTTAATATCAATAGAAGTATTTACAAATATAGGACTTGCTTCATTTGGATTCTACTCATCTTGTTACATACTTTCTCTCTTATAGCCTCTCTCACATTTTAATATTAAGCTTGTTCATGCTAATTTTTTCTTTTCAATATTTAGTTTTTTTTTTCCATGGACTCTGAACCTTGTACTGCAATCGTTTTGCTGTAATATAATTTGCTACTTGAATTTATTTTTTTAAATAAAAAAAAGTGTGACGAATGCGTGTGGAAGGAGTGGACTAGAGTTTAATCAAATTATAATCAAAAATTTTGGTCCAAGAAAAATCAAAATATAAGTGTTTAAACGATTTTTAATAAATACCTTAAGTTAAACAGAGGTCATGCTTATATATTTATAAGAAACGAATAGTCGTTCATTATGGTTCAGGAAATAGTAAAGATTAATAAATAAATATATTTGAGCATTTATTTTTTCCGTCACTAAATATAAGTGGCAATATTTAAAACACACAAATCAAAGAGAAAGAGGTGTTTTTGGCCGAGACCCGGGGGGGGGAAGGAGGAGGTTTTACCTTTCCATTTTTATCCTCTAGTTAATTTCATATAATATTTTAAATCTCAATTTCCTAGAAACAAGTATTACTTATGTCTAAAAATTTGTATTAGGACTTATATATATATATATATATAGAAATAAAAGAAAGGTGAAAATTAGGATTAGGACTTATACTTAAGAATGGAGGAAGTAATTCCCCATCCCCCGGGGCAAAATGGTCATATTGATTGTTTAACATGGTAATTAGGTGTCTATGCATGTAACGATGCTAAATTAATGAAGGTAAAAAAATTGAAATTTCGAATAAATGCACAAGACAATTGATAGTTGTTTCTTATATTTAGGTATAAAAAAAGGACTCCTATTTGTTTTTTAAAAAAATGTTTGAAGGGAGTATTTTGGTCTGAAAATGTGATTTGACAATTATATAGATAAAAATAAAGTTTTAAGAATAAAGAAGAAATCCATGTAAAATAACTTTTAATTTTTGAAAAGGTTTATGTTATGACAACTAAACTAGACTGGCTAGTTTAATTAGTTGGACTAGGAATGGATCACATGTTTAGTCTGATACAATGAAAAAAAAAAAATAAAGGAAGAGAAAATCATGTAAAATGTAATTTAATAATTAAGTGGATAACAATGAAATTTTAAGAGTAACAAAATAACTTTTAGTTGTTGAAATGGTTTATGTTATGAAAGTTAGAATAGTTGATTTGACTGGATAAACTACGAATTGGTCACATGTCTGATTTGATATAATGAGAAAATGAAAGGAAGAGAGATCCATGTAAAATGTAATTTAACAATTAAGTGAATAAAAAAGAAATGAAATTTTAAAAACAAATAATAAATCTGTGTAGAATAATTCTTGAAAAGGTTTATGTTATGAAATTAGATCGTTTGGACTAGAAATTGGTCACTTGTTTGGTCTGGTTTGATGTAATGAGAAAATTGGAAGAAGAAAGAACTAGTTGAATTAATCTTGAACTGGTCAAATTGATAAATTTAGTTAGCAAAAAAATGAAATATTTTATTTTTAAAAATTATAATTTATACATGTTTCTATTGTACTTATTAAGTATTGAAAAATAAAAAATAATGAACAAATAGGTAAGAAATATAAATTTTCCAAAATTATAACTTAAGAAATATGTATATACATTTTTTTAATGAATATTATGGAGTAGTGATGGATATTCTTGATGAATATTTAGATCAATCTACCTTGTTAATGAGTGGAAGAATGGTGGGAAGCCAATATTGTTATATCTGTGAGGGTCTGCATCCAATCCTAATATTACATAATATATCTCATATTTATCAGAATGATTCCTTAATTTCATTATTTAAAACAACCCACGAACTCTTGCTGCTGTTTTAAAATAGGATCTCGAGTATTTTTAATGTTTCAGAATTGGTCCTTAATGTCCATTGAAATAATATCATACAATGGATTAATGGTTATGGATGTTTTGAGAGAAAGACTATCGTGACCTTCCACCCCAATAACCAATTTGTGATTTGTTCCGATGTCTTCCTTGGCATAACTTACTTGTTGCTTCATATATATAAATCCGAAGGGTCAGTTTAGAACATTCAAATAAAGAAGCTAATGCATTTATGTTATACTTTTACAGGACACGATAAGCAAACTGGAATGACACATCATCAATTTAGATAGGAAATAAAAAACGATTACAAAAACACACCCAAATTCATCATTAATAATACAACACTCAATCTCAGACTCATATAGGTATATAAATAGACACACACGTCACAGAACTTAATCTTAGTAGCAGGAAATTCTATCCATAATGCTGGACACTACCTCTTTGCTTTTTCTCAGGTTGTCAACACTTCGACTGAGCATGGCACGCTTGCCAGCCATGGATGGTGACTCCTTCAGCAGGCTTTCGATTCCTCCAAAGCTCGGAGACGCAAAACAAGTAGTGATCTCCTTCTCCAAATCCCTATTCACCATATTGTTAATGTTGAATTGCAGATGCAAGGCTATGGTATCAATCAGCCTCCTCAGCACAATCCTCCCATAAGCTATCATTCTCATCTTCAGGTCATAAGCTTGATCAACCACTTTCATGTACTGTCCCAGATGATCCATCCTTATCTCTCCAAGACATTCTAGGCCTGCAATAGTTATAGTTCGATAACCAACACGCAGATATTCATTGAAAGAAGCCTGACAAGCCATTAGTTTATTGTATTCAGCCATGTACTCTGGATTACAAGTGTAATCTGTCAGCTTCTCCATTTCAATGGCCTCCATCACGTGCTTCTTTGAATGCTCCCTCATTTTAGCAATCAGATTTTCTCCTGCTCTGCATGTACACCTCTGAAGCTGATAATAGTGTTTTGAATGGCGGTTGATGACTTCAATCACCACTTTTTCCAGATAGTCCCACACATCATCAATGAACTGAATGGGCCTCGATGCAATTCCTCCCACTTTCCTCTGCAATAAAGCCAGAAAGGCAGTGCGAGGCATGAAGTTTGGGAGGCCTATCCTCTTGGTTTCCTCCAGAAGTATTATTTCGTCCATGAGAAAATTCTCGGCATTCTTGCTTTCAGGACATTCATGAAGATCTTTGGAGCAATCATTGAGCTTCTCAACCAAGCGAGCAGTGCAATGCATGGTTTTGTCTTCTGGGTACTCATCAAATTCTCCACTGATGAGAATTTTCTTGAGTGAATCTTTCACCAATCCAATTATATGCATGAAGGCAGCCATAGCATCAGCAACAGAAGTCAGGTTCTTTGGCAAGCTCTCCAACTCAGAAAGCTGAGAATTGAGCTTCTCGTTGATTTTTCTAACAATCTCAGGCAGTGTCTTCGAAATAATTGAAGCTTGAAGTCGAACTAGATTATGGGCCAGGGCAGGTATACCTACCATGGATTTATCTATCTTGGACAAAAGAGGATGGTTCTCGAACAGCATAGCTTCCTCCTTTCGCGCTTCTTCATAGGTCTCATCATTGATTCGATTCCTCACACACACATAACCAAGTCCTATGTTCACATCATCAGCAGTTACCTTCTCTAACAGTCCTTCTGGTGCTTTGTCAGCCTTTGTTACCACAGCCAGAGTTCTTAAGCCTGTTTTATCAACACTCTGTGACATCCTAATGGATTCACAGGTTGGAAAATCAACAGTAGCTGATAGAACATTCAAAATAATGGTCTCCTCTGGCTTGATATACTCCATGATTATATCTTTGATTTGGTCATAAATGTTCTCAGGCTGTCCATGAACAGGAACTCTAGTTATGCCTGGGAGATCCACCATGGTGAGATCGGGAACACCTTTTTTCTTCACCACCAAGGTCAAAGGGGTGTTGCAAATCCCCTTTGACTTGCCTGCAAGCTCTACAGTGGCTCCGTTTATTGCATCAGAGACATGTTCTTCATCTGTTGATACAACTTTGTCATTGTACTCCAACAAAAGCTCTGGCTCCGGCACAGGGTGGTTCTGGAGTCTCATAATTAAGGGCACCCTCGTGCAGATCCCCTGCCCACGTGGCAAGCTGATTCCTGCGAGAGATTCCAGGACACTGGACTTGCCTGAAGACTGGTCACCGACAACAACAATGCTTGGGAGCTGAATACCTTCCTTGGTGATGTTGAGGCGTCTGAGGTCTTCAACAGCATCGAGAACTGGTCGAATCTTTTCATTGTAAAAGGACACAATGGGTGGAATAAGGACATTGTCGGAGGGCTGAGGTTGGTGTTCTGGGTCTAAGGCCAGAGAGTTTAGGCGTTGTTTCAGACACTCATCGGCAGAATACTTTCCCATTTGGCTGTGAGCTTTCTGATTTGAAGAGGTTAATTTGAAGGAGTAGAAGAGGGAGATATGAAGTGCGGAGAGTGACTGGGAGGATGGTGGTATATATAGAAATGAGTGAGCTTAATTAGAACAAATGGAGGTGAGGTTTACGAAGGAGAGAAGAGACTTCCGACTTCGAAGGTGTCTTGAACTTTCGGTAACTTGCTCGAGAAGTAGAAGGTAAAAGAGAAAAATGTGTGGTGTGGAAACTTTGTTTTTTTTTTTTTTTGCTTTTTTTTTGGGGCTAAAAAAACTTTGTTGTGTTGATCCGAAATGAGTGTTATTCCCTAAAATTGATTCCTACTTCATTCTTAATTTTAATATTATTTGATATTATAAGATAATTTTTTAAATATTATGTTAAAAACATAGATTTTTTTATCCTTTAAAGTATAACTAATAATATTTTTAAAAATACCCATACTTGATGTGATTAATAAAATTCTTTAATTGAAACACACAATTATTAAATTATTAGATGAGAATAAATATAAAAAAATTATATAATTTTAAAAAAAATTAACATGATTGAATTGAAATTTAATTAAAAATATTTTATATTTTCTTTATTTTAAGTTATAAAATAATTTTAAAAATATTTCATTATCTTAAAATATAAAAAAATTAATAAAAATAAAAATTTATTAATAACATTTTGTCTAACATTAACTTTTAAGTAAAGAGATAATTGAAATAATTATAATATAATGATTAAATATATAAATTTAAAATTATATTAAATTAAAAATATTTTAAAAAATTTTGATTTATATTTTAAAACTAAATTTATACAGTGTTATATTGAATAGTTGCTTTTTGCCATGCGGCAACATCTCCTTTTCCTCGGGAAGAGAAGTCAGTCCCAACCCTACGACTACACTAGCCTTACTAGTTTTGTCCCTTTGTGTGAGTAATTTCAGGGAAAGTCACTCGCCCACATCAACTCACCTTCATTTTATTTACTATTCCTCGATGCTAAATTAAAAAATAATTAAAAAAAATATAATTTTAACTTCTCACACTTTACTATTAACATAAATTTTTATATTTTTTTTTTTGATATTCTAAATTATTATATTTTTATTATTTTTTGTGTGAAAAAAAATACAGGAATTTACAATCAAACGTGAGCAAATTATAAAAATTTAAAGTTATATTTTTTAATAACTTAATATAAAAAATTATTCATATCAATAAAATTTAATGTGATAAATTATGAACTCATTTTAAAAAAAAAATATTAGCTAACCCATGTTTTTAAATACATACATATTTAAACTGCAATACAGTATATCGATTTAATAATATACTATTGGCTAAAGTGTACATTATAAATAGATTTTAATATCACAGTTAAGACTCAGCACATGCCAATCAACCAGTAATTGGCTTAAGTCATATGTAATGTCGTCTATCCAGTCCTAAATTCTATATACTTCTAATCAAGCAGCATTCTATATACTTATTCAAGGTTTCAAGTTCCAAGCTTCTAAAAAAAGCCAAAGATTACTAGGTTTCTCCCTCTTAGGTTCTGTGCCTAAGATTTCTCCATGAGTTTCGACATGAAGTACCACCGAAAGCAACCTTCGGATTGCTCGGCCGACTCCCTACAACCTGGAAATGGTAAGAAAAAGAAGCAAAATCCATTGGCATCTGATAATAATTCCACTCCTATTGACTCCAATATGGACGATTATATGGAAGGGGCAGAAGAAGACAGCAACGATGTGAAGATTGAGAAGAAAGATACCAATGAGTCAGAGTCAAAGCATGAGAAACCCAAACCCAAAATCTCTTACAGAGGCTCTTTATTGGGTTTTAATGGAATTGCAAATGAGGCATCAGTAATGGAGAATGATGACTTGCTTGATGACTGTGATCATATGCCACGGAAACTTTTGGAACCTACGGAAGTGATTAAAGAAATGATGAAAATTTACCCAGTAATTCTGGCGACAAATGATGAGTTCCCGTATTGGTGTAGACCGTGGAAATATGCTCTTATTGTTACAGTTTTGGGGAAGCGAATGAATCTAGCTACCATGAAAAGATGATTGTTGAGAATTTAGGCCATTCCAGAGTTTGAAATCTAGGTTGTATAGATACGGGTATGAGTATTCGATACGATACGGCATGATATGGAGATACGGGAAATTTTTAAAATTTTAGAATACGGGTACGGAGATATTTATAATATATATTTTAATATTTTATTATATAAGTACAAGTATTTTGATTTTTAAACAAGAATTTCTAAAGTAATATAAGGATATTTATAATAATTAACTAAATTATTAAATGTTTTTTTTAAGTTTTTAAGTGATATAGTAAAAAATTATTGAAAAAAAAATCATATCACGAATGTTAGAATATGGGATACGTATGCAGAAGTATCCTACAAGTATCATATTGAATATGTATCGGATACGGGTACTTTTACTTTTTTGAAATATCTGGCTACATAGTTTGAAATTATAGACCTTCCAAATAACTATTTCACCATTCAATTCACTCATGGGGAGAAATAGAAGGAGCAGCATAGGAAAGTTGTGTTTGATGGACCTTGGATGATTTAAGGGAACTGTGTCATCGTGCAAAGATGGGACCCCTTCTTCGATGCTTATACCAATGCCCTGGGAAGAACAGCTATCTAGATTTGCATTCCTAATATTAATACGCACTACTATAACAAAAATTTTGTTTGGAGGTTGGGAGATAGAGTTGGCATAACATTGAAGGTTGATATGAATACTCTTCATGAGCTTGGAATAGGGAAGAACAAAATGGACAAAATAGAAAGAGGAAAATTTGCTAAGGTGTGTGTGGAGATCGACCTCCAAAAAAAAATAATTCCAAAAGTTATCTTCAACAATACAATTGTTAATTTCTAAAATTTTATATCATTTCATCACATTTTTCTTAGATTCTAATTCATTTAGGCTTTTTTGTATGTATCTTTATTACCTGAATTAGGAAAATGTGAGTTTTGGGTTTATATTCTTAGCTTTGATTTGATATTTTTGGCCTAATTTTGTATTATTTTGGGTTAAGGTTTGATTAGAAGCATTTTTGGACATTTGTTGATGCTTTTGGAAGGATTTTAGATGAAGAAATCAAGTACAAAAAAGATAATTTTCATTAACTACAAAAATAGTGCAAAACTATGAAAGTCATCCCAAAGTCGCGACTTTCGCTGCTGACAGCAAAATGCACTATTATATTTATCTAAAAATGCTTGGGTATGATGTATATATGCTGTGAACTCAAACCAGAATACATTCTATAACTTGAAGACACTTTTAGAGTTTTGTTATACTAGGGTTTGAGCTTTGGATGAGTTAGGTCCAATAGTTATAGCTTTGAAGACATTTGAAGCTCCATTTCTTAGATTCCTTTGTTTCTTCTCCATTTCTCTTCTTGTAATCTTATCATGAGTGTGAATATCTTGTATATTTGTAGCTTTTTGATGTTTATGAGTAACTAAACTCTTTGCTCTAGATTATTTTGAATCCTTATATAGATTAACACTAAGTTCCTCCTTTATTTTTGTAATTAATGATATATATATATTTATTTTAATTTTTTCTTAATGCTTCTAAGTGTTCGGCCACCATTTAGATTTTGAGTTTATTTGATTGATGCTTGAGAGGACTAGGTTAGGTGTAGAACTTAGATAAAGTAGTTTAAGAACTTGATATTTACATGTTGAACGGATAGTTTTGTTAGTAAGATAGAGATATACTTGCTAGCCTTGCATAGCCACATTAGGGTTGGTATTTAAAATTAAGTTTTATTAATTGTAACAAGAGATTGAGTAATTAATTTAACTAAACACTTGTTCACGACTTGAGAGAGGTTGTCCAGGTATTTTTAGAACCTTAGGTTAGCACTTATTTTCATTAAAAACATTTAGGAGAGGAGATATTTTTGGTATTATGAGATACAAGGGGGATAAATAATCCTAGGTCCCAATTTGTATTCGAAGTTTGAGAATCGATTGCTTTTCTTTATTTTTTTAGTGTTAGTTTAGTTTGCAAAATAAAATATTTTCTATAATTATGTTTGGCTCAACTTAATTCAATCTGCTTAGTCTTTTGTTTGATCACAATTTTTAAACAAATCTCTAAGGGAATGATCTTTACTTTTATTATATTACTTGCTACGATCCGTGCACTTGCGATAAGTAATAACAATCTACAAAGTATAGTATGAGGAAATTAATATGGCTGCAGGAGATATGGGCCTAGGAGACAAGCATTGCAACATGAACATGCCCATACAACTAATGTAAATGTCAGAAAATAGCATAGCAAGTGCCTTCAACACTAGTGAAGGAAAACTCACCATATGAGGAAGAAGATGACTTTGGATCTTAGATGCTAGACCCAAACCCATACAAAAAGCACTTCTTGAGGCTATGATATGATAGGAGAGGTCAACATTTCCAGTATAGAGGAAGAGGAAGTTTAGTCAAAAAAGAGAGCAAGATAATTTCACAGTCTCACTTTGCTGTTATAGTAGAGATGAAAGAGGAGGATCACATGAAAGAGGAGGATTACACATAGGAAGATGTTGAAAGGAGTATGGATATGGAAACGGATCTCCCCTCAGGTAAGAAGAAAGTTAATTCTTGAGGCTATCAAAGATATAGAGAGGCTGATAAGCAAAAGAAATCTACAGAAGATGAGAAACTTTTTAAGTCAAGAGAGCATATGAGGGTATTAAAGCAACAGGTGGCTTAAGGCAAGGAGAACACAAAATCAAGCAACCTAAGGACAAAAGAGACAAGCCAAAACCAAGCTGGGTTGAGCACACCTAAAAGAAATGGGCTTGGTTCAGTAGGCCACGCCAAAACACCTAAGAATGAGGTTAGGAATTACTCAGTTGCAATGGGCCAGGTATCAAACATGGGCTATTAACATCTCAATTTTTAATCCCCCAATTAACTAAAATTAATTAGGATAATTAAGTAAGTTGAGGTGGTGTGTAATATCTCATTCCACTAAACACAAATAAACAAAATAACTCATGGTAATTAAAGGATTAACTCAAAGAGTGATTACCAAGGT